AAGGGATAGACAAAAGAGTTATGCAGATAAGAGACGAAAACCCTTGGAATTCCAAGTTGGAGACCGTGTCCTACTAAAAGTCTCGCCTTGGAAAGGATTGATACGCTTCGGAAAACGTGGGAAACTGAACCCCAGATACATCGGACCATTCGAGATCCTTGCGAGGATCGGTCCAGTGGCTTACAAACTTAGACTACCTCAGGAACTCCACAACGTACACCCTACCTTTCATGTATCAAACCTAAAGAAATGCTTATCCGACGAGACCCTTGTCGTCCCTCTAGACGAAATTGCAATAAACGAAAACCTCCAATTTGTAGAGGAACCGGTAGAGATCATGGATCGGGAAGTCAAAAGGACTAAACAAAGCCGCATACCTATCGTAAAGGTCCGCTGGAACGCCAAGCGAGGACCTGAATACACCTGGGAACGAGAGGATCAAATGAAACAAAAGTACCCGCATCTTTTTCTAATTTGTAATATCTATCTTAGATTAAATTTCGGGACGAAATTCCCTTAACAGGGGGATGATGTGACAACCCTATTTTTCCCAAAAGCATTGTAAACATCGAAAGCTAAAAACAACGAAATTAACCTCGAAAATAAAGTGTTCAGGTATCTAAGTTGGGATGCATCGAATATTAGATATCATGCCCAGGTTTCCAAAAACATAAAGAACACTCAAAACCGAGTTATATTGAAGAAATTATAACCACTCGTATAATTACGACACGACGTTAAAACATAATTTGACGTAAAAAGTGGAATCTCAATAAAATACATTTTAGCCTTAAAGTATCTAAACAAAAGTCGTAGATCTCGTTGAAAGATGAGCGTGCATAAAAAGATCGCCCAAATTGGACCTCGTATGAAGAAGTTACGAATTTTCAAAGTTTCGTAACAGTAGTAGAGGGCTAAAAACTCGGATTAAAGATCGAGTGTTATTTAGCTATCGCCACCTAAACGGAAGTTGAAGATCTCCTCGGTGGTAATAAAACAATCAAGAGACAAACGAAAACCGACGTCGAATAAAGAACCTATGAAATTTTAACGAACTTTAGGAGGCCCGGCCTATTAAAATTATATCATTAAAAATAAAGTCAAAACTAGCCGACGGAGTCTAAATGAAAGTTGTAGAGCATAATCTCACCTACGCGTGGATATAAAGAACGCGAAAAACGGAGCTCGTACGCAAAAGTTACAGAATTTAGAAGTTGGAAGCAGGGATTACGCCCCGCGTACTCTGGGAGTACGCCCCGCGTACTAGACCCAGAGTCGAGTCCCATCGGCCCGCCCAAGCTACGCCTAGCTAGCCAGGAGCCGTAAGCCATGACGTATCTCTACGCCCAGCGTAACGACGTACGCGCTGCGTACGTGAGTACGCCCCGCGTAACGACGTACGCGCTGCGTACGTGAGTACGCCCCACGTACTCCAAAATTACGCCCCGCGTACGAGGCAATTCCAGCCTATAAATAGAAGGCTTAAGCTCGAGTTTTTGCACACAAATCACAATCCCCCAGCCATTCTTTCATACTTCTAAGCTCCAGAGACCCTCCCCTCACCTCGGTTTCCGCACTCGAGCCCCCGACGAAAGATTTACGTTGCAGAGACCCCCAAAGAGCCCGACGACGCAACTATCCGCGATCGAAACTCTGCTCAACTCTAGCCCCTCTCTTCAAACTTAACGAGTGAGTTCATACCCCTACTTTTCAATCCTTTTTCATGTTTTAGGGGGGAAATACAAGTACATTACACGTTAAAAGTATCGTTTTCTAAACATAAATGCAATTTCTAACTTCGAATATCGATACAAACATCTTACGTATACAAGGGCGATTATATCACTAAGTTATGTCTACGAAATGAAACATACTATCTGAAAAACTATAATGGGTATAGTTAGCAAGTCAATCCTACATTTTTATACAATTTGAAAAACGAAACACTTTCAAAAGAAGTAAGGTCATTTCATTGTAAATCTATTTATACTAGGTAATGTGAGATATTTAAACTTCAACGTACATTTTTGTATGCATTTCAAGTCCTGTATTATATACCATAATCTCTTGGAGGGAGAGCGTGATACTTGTGTATAGATCTATACGGGATTGACAATCCCGCACCTAAACTACTAGCTATAGTTAGACCGACAGGTTTGGGGTGACAAATGTCATAACACTGCAACACTTGAAGAATGTTGTTACAGGCCGTCAGTGTCAATAGTATGGTTATAAAACTCACATAAAAAGTATAAAACAAGATTGATTTACGAGATTCATATGTGCATCGCAGTATTCCTACATTATATCTTCATACTAAATTATTGTTATCATTTGTTTATAAAAGTTACTAACACATTCCAACTTTGGAACCTTTTTCATTTTACAAGAAAATATTGGATTTTCTAAAAACCTCGTTTACCAAATTACTACCAAAAGGAATATACTTTTCAACTCGGAACACTCATGAACTCACCAACTTAATTGTTGACACTTTTCAAAACCACTTGTATTTCTCAGGGAATCAGTGATACAGGTAAACTACCAGCTTTTGGAAGAAGGAACACAAAGGATGTTTTTATCATTAAACATTTATCATCATATTGTAATATTCTTTTGATAACATGTATAACGCAACAATATACGTTTTCATTTTTATATATATGATGGTTGTGTTACTTTCTTTACAATATTCAATCGTTGTGATACTACGTGAAGTCATCCACCCCCGAATGTTTCCGCCATTCTGGTTTGGGGGTGTGACAAATTTTACCAGAGCATCATGTTCTACAGTAGGAGGTTACATAAAAATTTTTGATGATTTTTCTCTACTGTATACTATTTTTCTCCTATTTTCTAAGGTTAATTACACTTAAATACACATAAATACCCAAAACCGGATAATACAATACAAAAACCACTTTTGGTATTTTTCCCATATTACTTACACTCTAAATGATGTTACAAAAATTTTTGGTAATTTATTTTAACTGTTTATTATTTATTCTTCAATTAATGATTATTTAAAGGGATAAAACAAGGAAAAATAGAAATACCCACTAAAAAATATCTTTTATATTTTTCCCGGACTATTTATGTATAATAAAAGTTAAATAAAAAGTATGGGTCATTTTTGAAACTATTTTCTATTTATTTCAATTTTTATTGGAATAAATGCTCAAAAATCATAAAATATAATTAATCATCTTGGAAATCCATTTTTATATTTTTCGCAGCTTAGTAATGTTTAATAACAATAATATAAAAGGTTTCGGGAATTTTCTTAACTCATTACTATTTTTCAGGAATTTATGGTTATTCAAGAATCTAAAACGGTGAAAAATAGTTAGACAAATCAAAAATTCAAGAAAATTTATCTTGAGGTCTTTGACTTCAATTAAAACTGAAATGCAAAGTTTGGGATATTTTAGAACTAAATTGATTTAGTTTTGAATATTTAATCATTGGAACGCCTTGTAAAATGTTAAATATTTACATTTCAATAGTGAGAAATTATACTTAAATTGTTATATAACAATTGATTCATTGGAATTTAATTTTAACAGACAAATGTTTATAACTTATCAATATTAAATTTTGGCACACTATTGGCATAATTCTATTGTAGTAGTAAGTATACTAGTGTTAGATTTCGATTACAGACTCACTAGCGAATACCATTATTGTAGGAATCGATAGTGGTACGAGTGGATCATAGTCAAGGCACCATTTGCATAATCTCAATGCATATTGTGAGTATTCACGTACTCCCCTATTTTCAGTTTTTATGTTTTGGGGTAGAAAAACATATCCTAAACTATTTATATCCGTTGTATTTATTTAACTCGTATAAACTTGGTTGCTATATTTAACATATTGTGAGTATTCACGCACTCCCCTATTTTCGGTTTCTAAATGTTTTGGGGTGGAAAAGCATGTCCTAAACTACTTTTTATGTTCTTTGTATTTATTTTGACTTGTATGAAACTTGGTTGCTATATTTCGTATGTATGTGTATGTTACTTTAATTCATGAGGACTGTATCGCGGTTAAGTCCCTGGAATCTCTAGACACAACTCATTAACTCTTTTGAGCCTATGGTTATTATGGATAACCCTATCAGGAGGTAGACAACTCCTCACTCGCACGATTTGCTTGAGTACATTTTACCATTTTCTACACTATGTTTGTGATACACATAGTAGTCAATAGGGCACGATTCGGTCATTAGGATTGGGTTGTGAACTCATGAATGGAAACTTGATGCACATACTATTCTTTATGCACATACGAAACTTGTATTCCCATGTTAGCAACGACACTTGTATACTTATTTTAGCAATGAAACTTGAATACTTATTTTAGCAATCAAATTTGTTTCTCATTATAGCAATGAACTCTATTTCTCATTACGACAACGAACTTTTACTACTGGAGACTTATATACATGTTTTAGCAATGAAATTGTTTGCTCCTTGTAGCAACGAAATTGACAGCTCATTTTAGCAATGAAACTTGTTTACTCGTTTGAGTAGCGAACTTTATCTTCCATGAGAATATGAACATTGCATCTCATTTGGGCAACATACTTTATCTCTCATGATGACAAAGAACTTTGTTTTTTTTACAAACTTATTTACTCCTTTTAACAATATACTTTTATTATTGGAAACTTTTTTCAAAACTTTGATTTCGATTCATGAACCAATATTATTTTGTTAAACTTGTGAGTACTCACCAACTATTTTTATAGTTGATGCTCGTTTTACATGCTTTTTCAGGAATTATCGAGTAAGTGGCACTTAGGAACACTTCACTTTTAGGAGCATTTGCATGTGTTGTATTTCTATTTTCATTGTAATTTCTTGTAAAAGTTGTTTAAACCCATTGTAAATTTGTAATGATTTTTAATACTATGGTTGGTGTTGTCTTTTAACTTCTTCTATGAAACCCATTGTACTGCCACGCCTCATGTTTCCGCTTTAGCGGGGTGTGACACCATGGCTACTGATGCTGGAACTGATAGTGAAGGCTTTGGAGGAACGTTCAAAGCTCTTCACTTTGATAATTTCGAAGAACATTTTCCAGACCACATGCTGATGACGATGAAGCAATTCAAGATTATGAATTCAAAATTAAATTCAATCTTGCAATCACAAGCAGATGTGGGTAGTGATGGGGTTACAAGTTTGGAGGTTGATTCTTTAATGAAATTGATGGAAGGACAAGTAATTTCGAAGGCTTATGGTTTAATTAGGGATTCAGAAAGTAGAGTCCTTGAAAAAGTTGATGAACATGATATTTCTACTGAGAATCGAATTAATTCTCAGAGGGCTGATTTTGTACGAGAGTTGAAAGACTTGAAGATGGTTACGAAGGAGCATCATGTGCTCTTCGTACAAGAGGTCAGAAAGGTACGGGAGGATGTTAACCTTCAAATCAGATAACTTCGAGAAGATATGCAAAAGGAAGTTTAAATCCTACAACAGGATTATGCTTCGGCTAATCAAAAAATTGATATCATATGTGATGCAGTCACCAGATGTGTCAAACTTTACGAACAGATGAATGTAACACTGACAACTCTTTCTGCCAAAGAGGAACAAAACTTTGGAGAGTTGGTAGGCTTGTTGAAGGAATTAAAGGACTTATCTTCGAAGTTTGTCTCTCCGATAATTTCACAAGAATTTCTTTCCTAGAAGTTTTCTCACTTTGAAGCCATTTTACACAAGAATCTTCTTCCATGCTTCGCATTTCCAGCCTTTTACCAACTATATCAGATGCCCCACCTACTTTCACAGGGGTGCAAGGGGGAGAAAAGATAGAACAAACAAAGGCTGGGGAACAAGTGAAAACTTGCGAAGGGATGAAGACAACTATAGAAGATGCGAAGGTAGTTGGTATGGTATATCCTTCGAAGGTGGTGGCAAAGGCAACTGTTGTTTCTGCTGGTCCAGTTACTTCAACTATGATCACAACAGTTCCAATTCCAAAACCAATCTCAAAGGGAGTCATAATTGGGAAGCAAACAAGTGTATCTTCTTCAGAAAAAGTTGATTTGTCAAATATAAAGGATAAGGGCAAAGGGATTGTTATTGAAAAGTCCAATGAAGAAAAGAAAGCGGAGGTGGCAGCTGAAGTAGAAAGAATGAGACAGGTACAGAGCATAATAAGACAAAGGGCTCTGGATGGTTCGAAAGTTGATAAGGGTGATCCGTCAAAAGTATATAATTACGAAACCATTGAATCTAGGGTGATGTTTGATCATATGTATTAGTTTGAGAAGATTCCTAAGGAAAGCTACGTGGTGATAAACACTGATTTTTGGCAACATGATTTTCCAATCAATGAGATGATGTTTGTTATGCCACGGTTTAAAGCCGAAACAAAGTCACTGGAAACAGAAGAGGGAAAGAAGATGAAAATTCAGTTTCATGCGGTGTTGGGAAAGGCTTAGGAAGAGATTTGGTTTTTGGATAAGATACGAAAGGTGATATCCATCAAAAGAGATGTCATTTTCGAAGGGAAGTTTGAAAACATCAAATACATTGTTGCAAGAGCTAGTGGAAAACTTCAAGAATTTACGGTGGCAGACTTTCCTTTGATGAATACTTATGATCTCATCAATATCGCCTTGATGCTTAAAGTCAAATCGTTTTCATTTCTTCAAGATACTGAGCCTGATGTATTTAGCCTTGGGTGCAAGCACATAAAAATATACTTAGAAAATTACTTTGAGTGCTTGGCTCAAACAGATGTGGAACTTGCTATAGTCAAATGAATCGATATAACTTCACCGATAGCACCAACAAAGATAAAACCATTGGGGATAGGTTTTGCTGGGAAAGATAAAGTTGGAAGAGCTAAAAGATTTTTGCTCCAAACTTCTGAAGTGGAGAGATACAACAACTCTCAATGTACGAACTTAATTGTTCGTATGAACCACTGCAAGAAAAACTCAGAAGGAGATAAGAAAGAGATAAAGAAGGTTATCTCTTGGTATATGTAGATCCGAAGAGTGTTGATGTATGCCGTTCAAGCACTGACTACTTGAAGAATTCGACCTTGATTCCAAAGGGGGAGATTGTTAGGGCTAAAATGTTGTAATAGTCGAAGAGTTAGTTTGGTTGTTACGAAGAATCTTGTGTCTTCATATGTATGGGTCTTCGTATATATAGTTATTTTACTAAGGCATTATAAAGTCAAGACTTAACATTTAGTCCTTAGTATTTTTGTTATGCTTTTGTTCTCCTATAAATAGGGGTATGTACTAGTGATCTACAAGATGACTTTACACACAGTTTTATAGTTTAGTCATTGTATTTTGTAAACTGAAAGGCATAATACGAGCTGAACAAAGATTCTATTTACTCTCGTGTTCATCGTTTAAATACTTTACTCAGTTAATACTAGATTTACATTCAAACTTGATTCCAAATCTCATCATGAACTAACACACACACATTACAAGAATAAACAGGTTTTCAGTATACATCTTTCACAATAGGAAAATATGGGATTTTCCTTGGATAACAGTTAAACATAACCAGAACCGTGTAACCTAACAGTTAATCAAACATTTCTTTTAAGAAAATATGGGATTTTCTTGGGTTGTAACATTTTCAAAAACCAAAAGGAAACTCGTACATTTTCAGAAAACAAAATCATTTATGAACTCACCAGCTTTATGCTGATTTTTAAAATGCTTGTATTCTCAGTTCCGCATTAGACAGGTACCCGATGATCCTTTTGTCGAAGACGGAGTGCATCGAAGACATTTCTTACTTTTGTTTATATATACATATGTATCACATTGTACAACTTTACTTTTGAACAAATGTAAATTTCTATATGTAACGTAATGGTTGTTTACTTTGATTAGTATGTGCATTGGATTTGATACTCAATGTGGAGTCCGCCGCAGAAATGTTTCTGCCTTGGTTTTTGGGGTGTGACATTAAACTTACCCAATCCCTTCGTCAGGGGATCTGCCGGGTTCTCATCTGATGATACCCTCTTTGCCACAAGGAGTCCTTCTTCTATACGATGTCTGATGAAATGATATTTTCTGTCAATGTGTCTGGATCTACCATGATCCCTTGGTTCCTTTGCTATGGAAACTGCATTTTCACTATCACAGAAAATCTCTATGGGCTTCGATATAGCAGGTACAACTCCAAGGTCTCTAATGAAGTTCTTTAGCCACATAGCCTCTTTTGCCGCCTCGCTCGCCGTTATATACTCTGATTCGCAAGTTGAATCAGCCACTGTCTCCTGCTTGGAACTTTTCCAAGAGATTTCTCCTCCGTTTAAGGTAAAGACCCAGCCCGCAAGAGAGCGGAAATTATCCCTATCAGTCTAAAAGCTAGAATAACTATACCCTACATCTCTCAAGTCATCACTCCCACCAAGGGTAAGGATCCAGTCCTTAGTCCTCTGCAGGTGCTTGAGAATGTTCTTTATCGCTGTCCAGTAAGCCTTACCAGGTTTCCCCTGATACTTGCTAACCATGCTTAACGCAATGGCTACATCAGGACGAGTACAGGTCATAGCATACATAATCGAGCCTACTGCCGAAGCATAAGCTACCCGACTCATTTCCGCTATCTCATCCTCAGTACTCGGGCTCTGAGTCTAACTCAGTCTAGTGTTACTCTGGATGGGTAACTCTCCTTTCTTGGAATCTTGCATGTCGAATCTCTTCAGCAGCTTATCCAAATATGTACTCTAACTAAGTCCAATTTGTCTTTTACTCCGGTCTCTCAAGATTTTTATTCCCATAATATAGGAAGATTCTCCTAGGTCCTTCATAGCGAAACACTTCCCAAGCCAAGACTTAACTTCTTGCAGAGTTGGGATGTCATTTCCTATGAGTAGTATGTCATCCACATACAACACCAAAAAGCTAACTATACTCCCACTAGGCTTGACATATACACAAGATTCATCTTCACTCCTAGAAAAGCCAAACTCTTTGACCATCTTATCAAAGCAAAGATTCCATCTGCGAGGTGCTTGCTTTAAGTCATAGATGGATGTCTCAAGATTACACATTCTATTAGGGTACGCTGTGCTGACAAATGTGACAACCCAAGTTGTTCCGTTACATTTCCCGTCACCATTAACGGAATATTCCACTGTATAAAAGTTCTGTTAATTAGAAGTCGTCAATTTAATATATATCCCAATTGTTTACATTTAAAATGCCGTTAAGTTGTGATGAAAGGGAAGAAAAACACAGGACACACATTTCCATTTATTTGGAAAATGTCAAGTGTTATTATTACGACCACTAAATCGGGTGCGACCAAAAGCCTCGTTTAACGGCAGTATCGGGTAGAATTCCACTGAGCCCCGACTCAAAACCCTATGTAAGGGTGAGTGGAGTCCATTGGAGACTTTTTACACTCTCTCTCTATACTCTCTCTCTAGACTCGTTTTAGCCCCGAATCCGCAACCAAACGCTTCCAAATTGTAAGTCTGCTTACCCTAGCTTATTCTAAACATATTGAATCATGTTTATAACCCAAAAATCGGACTTAGAAGCTATGGAAAAGGAGTTTACAGCCTAAGCACCTCCTTAGGCCATAAACACCCAAATCAAGGCCAAAATGACCCAAACTTGTCCCTAATGGCTTGGAAATAAATTGAGGTATTAGCCTAGGAGTGTTTAAACATTAAAACTCACGAATTTGGGGGTTAAAAGAGAGTTTACGCCCCAAGCACAAGCTTAGGCCGTAAAAACCTCAAAATCTTGTTAAAAGGCCCCAAAAACACTCCCAAACCACACTAGGGCTTAACACATAAATTAAGGGCTTATTCCTTTGGGTTTAGATCACTTAAACACATCAAAATGAAGGAAAAAAATGAGTTTACGGCCCAAGCACATGCTTAGGCCGTAAACTCCCCAAACTAGGCCAAAATGTTGGTTTTTGTCCCCCCAAATGACCTTAGACATTTACCATAAAATACTAGGAAGGATTTAAAGGCTTAAACACAAGGAAATGAGGCATGACTTGGAGTTTATGGCCCAAGCATTTATCTAGGCCGTAAAGTCCCTAAAACCCACTGAAATGATGGTTTTAATCCTCCAAAATAGCATCATACTTCATTTGAAATCACTAGAAAGGCATTAAATGCTTTAAACCTCCCAAAACTCTAAGGATTAGAGTTTACGGCCGTAAACTCCTTTAGGAGTGGTTCCTTGGCCGTAAACTCATAGATCATGCCCTTAGAGGCCTCAAACCCACTCATGCCTTTTGGGAAAAGTGCTTAGAATAAATCAATGAGCAAGCTAAAAGCATAAAACACCCAAGAATATGACCTTGGGAGTTTACAGCCGTAAACTCCCTTGAGTCGGGCCATAAACTCCAAATTGGTCCATGTTAATGTTTTAACCCCATTCACACACTAGATATTTGAGTTTAGCAAAGTTCCACAACTGATAGGAGACCCTTAGCACCCCTAAACGCTACCCGGGACACCCAAACATTTAGCCAAAATGTTTTCCACTCCTTTGAGCATGTATATTTGTTTAATTAGTATTAAATATACTAATCATATGTTAAATAGGTCATTGAGTGTGTTCGAGTCCTTAGGTGGCACCGAACGCCCAAACAGCACTCTCGTCGGACCTACTTACGCCAGGTGAGTTCATACCCCTGAATGAACCTTTTTAAATGCTTTTAAATGATTTTAAATGTTTTTATAAGGGGGGGGGGATTACAAGTTAATCATGCCAGCTATCATATCAATCACATGTGATTGATAACACGCATGCACAAGATTTTGCCATTGTACACTGTTTTTACCGAGTAGGACGCTATAAAGCTTTTCAATTGTTTTAAAACTCTTACTTATACCTCTTTAACTAAATTCATTCTAAACTGGTTTGTGAAGGATTTTCCGAGATTTTCAAACATATTTTACAAAAGAATACAACTTGTGAAATTTCCTGTTCATAAAGGCTTTTCATTAAAGATTCCCTTTTGACGTATATTTTTACTTGAAATTTATGCTGATTCGCTTATACTTATTTCATACTCCTACTCTGTAATGCTTCCACCCATACTGATAGATGCTTATACTTGATGGATGCTTATACTTATCCACACTCTTACTTGGAAATACAAATCTACTTCACTTATACTTGATATCGACTCTACTTCACTTATACTTGAAACGCCCTCGTTTCAATTATTGTCGTCTCTGCTTCGTGATACGCTTATACCTATTCGACACTTCTGCTTCCACCCATACTGATAGACCCTCATTTCAGTTATTGGCGTCTCTGCTTCGTGATACGCTTATACCTATTCGACACTTTTGCTTCACTTGCGACCGCTTTTACTTCACTTGTATAGACGCTACTGCTTCACAAGGATCACTTCTACTTGATTTACACACCTAGCTGTAGTTAGATGTATGTCTGTGCTTATATAGATACATATAAGTAAC